ATGGGTAATATCGAATACCAATTTACTTATAATCAATCCACTAGTTATCGTTACCATGCATGAGGAAATTAAGTGATTTGATGTGTTGAGAAGTTTCAGAAAAAAAATCAAAGAGTAGACTAAGCCAGATAAGATGTAAGAGCTCCAGGTAGATCGACATACCAATTATCTCCAGCGTAGCTAGGCAAAACAGGGTAGAAGGCAATTGTAAGATAGGCAGCAGCAGCAGGAGTGTTGGAGAGAGTGAGTCTAAAATAGATAAGAAAAAAACAAGATAAAATTCTACAAAAGCAAGAGGAATATATGTAAAATGAAAATTAAGAAAGAAATAATAGTGAACCACAATGCCTTCATGCTGGCATGAATGACCTGACTCTATTCACCAATTTGTAGACTTCAATCCACTATTAGTCTGACTACATATATCCCAGTTATCTCTACTCATGCAAACACTCGCCGGAGCAGGACTCATCGGCATTGTGTAGCGCGGAGACTAGACAGACCTAGTCACCGCATCAGACCTTACCGCTGAACTAGTAAGAATGTGGCCTTAGCAGTACTCAAAAGTATGTTTAAGGCAGACTATCGATACCGGAAACCTATAACAACGCTCCACTGATGAGCTGTCGTTATCCTCAGTATCCGAACGCAGCCCTCTTGCACCAACGACACGCACTGACTGTGTACTTTCATACGTCCGAATCCTCTGCTCTGTCTTTATATAAAGCCCTTCGTGATTCGCTTTGGCTCTTTAAACAAGGTTGGCGTATTCAATTAGGTAGCGATAGGGTGAGCATATATTTATAGTGAATTTTCTTGATTCACTAAAAATTTACCACCGTATGCTGTCTCCAGAATATTTAATAGGATATAAATTACCTCAGAAACAGTAACCGTGGCCTTCCAGATAAATTCCTATTTTCCCATCAAACATAGGAAGTTAAGACTAACTACAATCAGTTATCTCAGCCTCCTTGCTTGTGGGATGTAGAGAAGCTGGGCAACAAAGTACAGAACAATTGCATACATTATGAAGAGCTTGCAAAGTTGATTAAAGTTGGACACTGCACCGAGAGATAATTAATGAGGATACACATGTAGTTTGTCTTAACATAATATCAGTGCTGATCTTATCGGAAACAATTTTTCCTTAGTGATGAGGCACTTAACTAACCGTAAAAAAGATAAAAAGAGCTGCGCAATTCAATAAAGTTTTGCTAAAAGTGAGATGACAGATCCATGGGCCTGGTAATAATAAAAATATAGGTATCTATTTCATTATAC